CCGGAGCCCCCCACTACGGCGTCTCTCATAAACAAATGGTGGTTTTGGGACGTTAAACCCCACAAATCAATCAATCAGCCTCCGCTACACGCTCGAGGCACTCTAACGAAGCGCCTTCAGGATACCATTCACCGATTTTCTTGCGCACAGCGTCAAATAAACGTTTTGTTCAGTCTCTTCATGCGCAAGACTATCATCTTTCGACGATATTTACAATGTAACACGTAAATTCGGGCCAATTTTTTACAATGTGCGTGGTTCTGTGTATGCATGAAATAACCGCATACCTCTGGGGCACTAGAAATAAGGTGATCAAAACTTTTTGAGCTTTGATGTAAGTTTTTTTGACACAGAGCAAAGTATGTCGCTCAAAAAGCCAGAATTTGCAAGACAAACAACTTGCGCATCAAACGCATGCGCCATAAGGTGCTCGCATGACTTCTGAAGAGCGGCAGCCAGCATAGTACGTAATGCCGCTCTTCACGTTATTTGAGTGGCCAGAGTTAAATTTTAAAATCGCCTTTGTGGATCTAGGCTGGTATACTGCCAAAAAAAAAAAAACGTGACTCGTAAAGAAAACCGATTCCTTGATTTCAGCTTGATTGTTAGCAAGCGTTCTCTATTGACTGTCCTCTGCATACATGCAACGCATTACTCAGAGATCTGTGTAGTTTTGTTTCGATTTCTAATCGTGAAGCTCTCTGTAACATCCTTTAGTATTGCCTAACCTATTGATACTTATTTCTAATTGTTTGTATCATTAGTACTGTTTGGTATCTTTATTCCATGTGTGCTTACTCTTCCGATCGTGTTAGGACAAATGTAAAATAATATGAGCGTGCCTAGTCCTCACGAGTCAATAATTATGCTTACGATTCATTGAGAACAGCGAAATAAAGCTTGTATTGTATTGTATTCTATTATAATGAAAGTTATAACAACGGATCTTATGTTACAAATGGGATTTGAGAAATATGATACCAAGCACTACGGCTTTCCGATTGGCATCCCCACGAACGTTTTGTTGCTGTTTTTTCTGGGCACTAAGTTTTCATTGTGTGACCCTAACACCTGAGTTGACAATAAATCACGCTCTATGGTTATAGTTCTAGGGTTGCCAATTGCATTGCGTTTTACAAACTTATCACGTAACTAGAACCAAATATTTACAGAGAAGTGCTTAACCTCAAAGGATTACAATCGTGGTTTGAATGTTCGCGAGCAGACATCAAATCATCGAAATCTACCATTCCCAACATTTCTAGAAAAAAAAAAATGGCAGATCCCACGTACAGTGGGAATCGATGATATGCGAAGCACGAATGAGGAAGATTGACAGGCCTGTCTAAAATCACCACGACGTTACGAGGCGGACGTAAAATATGACGTACATGACTTCTCACTTTTGATAACCATGTTTGGACATGTCATTGACCCTTGGCGTGTATTCACGTCACGTTATATTAAAATTGGTTTATGTGGCGCTCGTGAAACAGCTGCACGTGCACTATGAGCATAGCAAGTAGCCGTGTTTTACATGACGAACATGGCCTAGCTAATTATCATGTTTGGACGTGTCATTTCCTTCTGTCACCTTTCTCATCCGTTCACGCCACGTGATACCAAATTTGGTATATTTGAAGCTAGTGAAACAGCTGTGAGCGCATCATGAGCGTGGTATACTGTCGTGTCCTTTACGTCACATGCGTGCCATAATTTTCATTTTTGCACCAGTCATATTCCTACGTCATGCAATCGTGTAATGTAACACCAAATTCGGTTTATTTGAAGCTGGCGAAACGACCTCGAGTGCACATAGCGCAACATGTAGTGATTTTATTTATTTATTTATTTATATATGTACCTACATCGCCCTTACGGGCATTATTGTAGGGGGGATAACAAGCAAAAGAATACAGTACAGTCGATATACCGAAAAAGATGGTTGCGGATAAAAGGCTGTAGTCGTTTGAAAGAACATAGTCATAACAAAGTGAAACAACAAAGTGAAACAACACTGTCATAAATAAGGCATCAAATTGCAAATACAAAGCAAACGTTGAAAGAGAAGAGTGCTATTGGTAACACAGGGCAATAAAAACAAAAGAAAATAATTAGTACGGAACGCATCAGCAATGTACAGTAATGATTAGTTCAACAAAAAATTGTGCAAATTTTTAACAAAAGATAAGGGAGGCGCAGAGACAATTTCCTCTGGCAAGCCGTTCCACTCGTGCGTGGTTCTTGGAAAAAAGGCGTATTTGAATGCGTTGATCCTGGAAGTGTATTCACGCAGTTTTAAAGAATGGTCAGTACGGGGTGACACATAGGTAGGTGGCCTTATATACTGATCCTTGTCGATGCCTGTTTTGTTCATGAATATGCTGTAAAATAGGGACAATCGTAGGTATTTTCGCCGGTCAGCTAACAGAGGCCATTGCAATCCTGAACGAATGTCAGCTGATCTTATGGTAAAGTTATAATTGCTTGCCACAAAGCGTGCTGCGCGTGCCTGTACACGCTCCAGGGCTTTTATATTTGATTTTGTTGAGGGGACCCAGGCACTGCAGGCATATTCTAATATGGGACGCACATTGGATATGTATAGTGTTTCTTTCAACTTAGTTGGTGCCTGTCTGAAATTGCGCCTCAAAAATTTAGCACTCGACTAGCCTTTAATGTTAAGTAATTAATATAAGCGTTCCAAGATAGGTTGGCAGAAAAAATGACCCATAGGTATTTATATTCTGTTTCAACCGGCAAGGTAGCCCCGGCCATGACGTAATTTGAAATCCGAGGCTGTTTTTTGTTCGTAAACCTCACCAATTTACACTTCGACAGATTTAGTGTCATTCTCCATGAATCACACCAAGAAACTATGGAGTTCAAGACATTCTGCAATTGAACGGTGTCCGCTTCAGAGGATAATGTTACTGTAAATGCAGCAATCGTCAGCATACAATCGAACACGGCTAGAGAGATTGTCGGAGATATCATTTATAAAAATAAGAAAAAGCAGGGGCCCCAAAACTGACCCTTGCGGCACTCCTTACAATACACCGACGCTTGATGAGCACACACCGTCAAGAATCACGCACTGCTGTCTTTCTGAAAGGTACGCCTCAATCCACATGAGAAGGGCATTAGGTATGCCTAGACAATGAAGCTTCTGCAACAACAACACATGTGACACGGAATCGAATGCCTTCTGGAAATCCAGAAATATACAGTCCACCTGAAGGCCTGAGTTAATAGAAGCTGCAATGTCGTGCTGTGAACTCGACCAGTTGTGTATCGCACTGAGAAACCCGCCCTGCAAACCTGTGTTGCAATGGGGAAAAGAAGTTATTACTTTGAAGATGATTCATTAAGTTTGTGTAAATGATATGTTCGAGTGTCTTGCAGCACACGCTTGTCAGAGAAATGGGCCTGTAGTTACACTTTTTTGTTTTATCTCCGCTTTTATATACTGGGGTTACGTTGGCAGTTTTTCCAATCAGCCGGTAAAACGCATTGTTCAAGCGACGTTTTGTACATGAGAGTTAAAAAAGGGGCGATAGACACTGCGCAGTTTTTCAAGACGAAGTTGGATATACAGTCAGGACCAGGAGCAGAGTGAACATTCATTTTTTTCCAACAAGAGCACGACACCGTGTTCAGAAATTTCTATGTCGTTCATTTGCGGGAGTGAGCCATCATTCTGGCATAGACTACATGTGTTAACTGGATGCGAGAACACAGACTGAAAGTATGTATTGAAACCCTGAGCTTTGGCTTCCGTGTTAGATTCGTAACTTATCCCGTCCATGATGTCAGGAATAGTGGGTCTAGAATTACTTTTATTTTTCACGTATTTCCACACTTCCTTGGGGTTGGTTTTAAGTTTCTCGCCTAGATCACAAAGGTACATTTCTTGTGCCCTGCGCATAGCTTTTGTCCCCATTTTGCCTATCTCTTTCATTTTTGAAAGCAACGCAGGATCAGGCACTTGGCAATACTTTCGATACAATCGATTCTTTCTATTTATCTTTGATCGGAGTTCCCTACTGAGCCATGGTTTATCATTGCGTCGCCTGGCCGAAATGATACACTAAGGAATGAAAGTTTGGGTCAAGGACATTATCTTTGTTTTGAAGAAATTCCTACTGCGCATTCATGTCTAACGATGAACTATGCGATTGGAACTCAGGAAAAAATGCATCCAGTTCACGCGACAGTGATGGGTAGTCACCTTTTTCATATGAGAACACTTTGCGGGGTGCCTGAGCGCGGCGGTTTTTAGCACAACAAGACATTTTAGTGACAACAACTTCATGGTCGCTGATACCAGGGACCGTGACAACAGAGGATACAAGATCCGGTTGACTGCACAAAAATAAATCAAGAATGTTTGCACTGTCACCACCAATTCTTGTTGACGCTTCGACAAATTGAAATAATGAGTGGGCATTAATCATCTCCCTAAAGGTAGTATACAGGAAAAACGTTGTGTTTAACACGGGTTTAAAGGACTTCCATTCTACATCCGGGAAGTTAAAATCGCCTCGGAGAATTACGTGCGTTGTTTGCAAACTTAATAAAACGTTGCTCAACTGAAAGAGAGGATGGGCAGTTCTTATACCGGGCGGCCTATAAAATGAGCCAATGGCAATGGAAGAACCGTTTTGTAGCAAAATTTTACACCAGACAGTTTCGCATGAGTCGGCTTCGATGCTTATAGAATTGCTAGCTATGCTATCTTGAATGAGAACAAATACACCACCACCATGGCAATTACGGTCTTTCCTATATACGGTGTAGCCAAAGGGAAACATTTCGCTGTCGCTAATTGTGTTGTCGAGCCATGATTCTGTACCAATGACTACGTGCGGATTTGTTGATTCTATCAAGGAACTGAACTCTATACTTTTATTTTTGAGGCTTCTGCAATTTACTACAATACATACGAGATCGTGTTTGCCGGATGGTTTCTTTTTACGGTAAGCTGCATTCGTTAGTAGCTATCGAGTATCTCTGGTCACGGTGTCGGTTTCAGCATTATATACGAAGGTTTGGTTGCCTATTTTCATTTTATTAAAATGCAACTTGTATTCTGCTTTACGGTCTTTGGCGAACTGAATCAATTTCTTCCTTTCCTGTCGAACTTTACTGGAATAGTCCTCACTCAACGCGAACTCAGTTCCTTTCAGCTTTGAGGCAACAGCAAGCACACGTTCTTTGTCTTTAAATGACAAAAACCTCAGAATTATGGGCCTTGCCTTTACCGCTGTGTAGCGTCCTAGCCTGTGAGCTCTTTCAATGGCAGCAGTGCTAATTGCCACGTTCAGTTTTTCGGAGCAAAAGGCAATCACTCGAGCCTCTGACTGAGCCCACGTTTCATTTACAGTATCTGGAAGGCCATAAACTATCAAATTGTTTCTTCTAGATCTGCCATCTAGGTCCTCATACGAGTCCCGTAATTTGGCGCAGGTATCAGCAAGATCTTCATTTTGAGTGAGTAGTTGCGTTACGTCATCCCGTAAAGGGGACACGTTATCTTCCACGAGCTTGACCTTTTCTGCCAGTTGCGATAGCTTTTGTTCGAGTGCTTGTTGGTCGGCTCGAATGGAACGAATTTCCGAAAGAATTTCAGTCTGTTGCTGTTGCATTGACGGTAGTGTCATGATGACATCAAACATTTCTTTTTCTTGTTGGGATGTCAGAGGGCCCGGGTTTTGTTCTACATCCCCAGACAGAAGCAGCAACATTCGAGCAACACGCATGCATGACAAAAATTTTGCACCCAGCAGGAAAACATTTTGAACAATCGTAGTCGACAGCGAGTTGGGATCCGGCACCAATTTTAAACGGCTTTCCGTTAACAAGGCGATAAGAATAACCAACCTGAAGAAAGACGAGCCGTGAGTGACTGACAGCCATGCCGGTGCCAGATCCCAAAGTGGGTGGTTGCAGTAGTCGCTTAAGTAGCCCTGCGCCGTCCTGTAGCGTCCCGGGTTGCCAGACGAAGTAACGGTAGCCGGACGGTGCCGACAGCGCTAGCACATCCAGCGGTGAGGAGCAATCCGACAGCAGTTGAAAAGCCGGGCAGATATCCCGGGTTTGTGCCGTCATCGAAGATAGGACACGTTGTTGCTCCAGAACCAAGGAAAATTGCCAGCATCTGCGCAACCTGAAGAAAGACGAGCCGTGAGTGACTGACAGCCATGCCGGTGCCAGATCCCAAAGTGGGTGGTTGCAGTAGTCGCTTAAGAAGCCCTGCGCCGTCCTGTAGCGTCCCGGGTTGCCAGACGAAGTAACGGTAGCCGGACGGTGCCGACAGCGCTAGCACATCCAGCGGTGAGGAGCAATCCGACAGCAGTTGAAAAGCCGGGCAGATATCCGGCTTTGTGCCGTCATCGAAGATAGGACACGTTGTTGCTCCAGAACCAAGGAAAATTGCCAGCATCTGCGCAGCCTGAAGAAAGACGAGCCGTGAGTTACTGACAGCCATGCCCGTGCCAGATCCCCGGTGACAGCCATGCCGGTGCCAGATCATGTTGTCACATGACACGCATATGTCATGATTATCACGTTTGGACATGTCACTTACTTTGTCGTCATTGTCGTCTCGTAATACCAATTTATATTATGTCAAGCTAGCGAAAAAGCCACGAGCACTTCATGAACGTGGCATGTAGTAATGTTCTTACAGCAAACGCATGCCATAATTATCATATTTCCACCACTCACATACCTTTGTCATGCATCCACGTCCCGTAATACCAAATTCGGTATATGTGAAGCTAGAAAAACAACCGCGAGCGCGTCATCAGCTGTGACCTATAGTCATTAATCATTATTCACATGACATGCATGTCATAATTTTCTCGTTAGGTTTTGTCACTTGTGTTGGCCATGCAGTAATCTCATACTATACCAGTTGGTTAACATGCCATGTGAACGAAACCACTGCAGAGCAGAGAGACCACGAAATGTATATCATCACATACGTGTCATGATAATCATGTTATGACTAGGCAATTGTGCTCGTCATACAGCCATGCTATGCCATACCAAATTGGATAATGATACCAATAACGAAAAGGCCAGGAGAGTCAAAAGTCGTAGGTGGCTAGATGAAGAGATAGATAGATAGATAGATAGATAGATAGATAGATAGATAGATAGATAGATAGATAGATAGATAGATAGATAGATAGATAGATAGATTGATAGATTGATAGATAGATAGATAGATAGATAGATAGATAGATAGATAGATAGATAGATAGATAGATAGATAGATAGATAGATAGATAGATAGATAGACAGACAGACAGACAGACAGACAGACAGACAGACAGACAGACAGACAGACAGATAGATAGATAGATAGATAGATAGATAGATAGATAGATAGATAGATAGATAGATAGATAGATAGATAGATAGATAGATAGATAGATAGATAGATAGATAGATAGAAAGATAGAAACTCTGAAAGTCACCGCAGTTTGCCAAGAAATTCAAAAGCGAAAATTTTATTTGTATATTGTATGGGGAATCATACGTTTTTAAAATTTATTGCATTTAGGTATCTAGGCCTAAGAACAACGCATGCACATATTGATAACGCTTGTTCCATAGGGCTTCAGAAGTTTCGGCAGTTTTAATTAATAAGAAGAAAATAGCAGGGTGCCAGTATGGAGCTAAAACTACTTGCTTTTAGAACTTCTACACGGCCGATGCTGGAATATACCAATATTGTCTGAAATTCCCACCAGACACTGCTGGTAAATAAACTTGAACGAATAAAACGACCTGCAGCTTGTTTTATATGCTCAAGATATAAACAGAAAGACACAGTCACAGAATTGCTACAACTCTGTAGTCTGGAGACGCCTGCACAAACGTAGACTTAAAATTAAATAACGTTTATTTTTTATATAATGGCAGGTGAGTTTAAAACTAATGGGAAATACTATGTACAACAACGTGAGAAACGAAGCGAGAGGGCAAACTACGCACGAGTATACTTGAACTTTACTTTGAGGGAACGAAGATGTATTGTTATGCTTTCTTCTCTGTTGTAATCGAAGAGTTGAATGAGTTGCGGTATAGTATAATCAACGTGAGTGATAATAATAAATTATTGTGCTCACTTGATTTCAGTTTATGTGACTTACTATAAAGATGAGTGCTATTGTTATCTATTATATTTCCAATTCAGGTGAGTGTCTTCATTTGGATATTGCGGAGCTTATGAATTTGTATATTTGTATTCCTTGTTTATCGTTATGAGATATGCAGTTATGTTCCCAGTTCAATTGTACAGTTTATCGTACCTTCTTTGTTATGACACTCAATGGAGGGCTGAGAGTATTAAAAAAATAAATAAATAAAATCGACAATACATTCACCGTCATGATGGCTCTCATAAAGGTATTTTTATTGTGCTTAATTTTTTAACTTAGGCACCTATGCAACATTATTGCGATTCACTTTGGGGCCTATGCGATTCTTTACGTTTTCGAGTGCAATCTTGAACAACAAATCTCATATTTCGTAGAGGGATACATGCCACGTAGAGAGGTACATGCCACGAAGAGATTTTTCCAGCTTTGAGAGAACCTGTGAGAATCATGTTGACTTTCCGGATGACGACTACATGGTTTAAGCCGGCCTCCTCCTACAAAAGGCATGTACATTACTGGGCCTATTTCTTGAGCCCTGGTAAGGAGTTCACAGCAAGTTCGAAAAGATTTTACACGTATTGTTGCCCATGATTTGAAGTATGCTATCGATTACCCACAATGAAGGCGTATGCAAAAGCTTCACTGAGACAAGCCACTTTCTTCTATAATAATTACATTGTAGTAATCCACAATTTCTACTGCTCGAGTAACAATTTTTAATAAAATATATGCACAAAGTGTTCGAAGTACGCACTAGAGACAACATATCGCTATCGTGTTCGACTCCTAGAAGCAAAGCTCAAGGCTTCCTCATTTTTTATTGCAGGGATTGCCTTGCTATTTATGTATCATCACTTTCCTTTTTTTAAAAGCTTGAAGTCATTTTTTTTCGTTACAAAAAAGCAGATAAGCTGGCTGAAAAATGCAATAGTGTGAACAGCAGCAATATTCTTCGATACTTTTTGCCACGTGCCATAAATATAGAAAGAAGCTTCTGGCTGCAGAAGTTCTCTCGAAGAGGAAATGGTAAAAAAGTGCACAGGTGAAAATGTTGCTAACGAACACGTTACGAAAGTTTATTGGTGTAATATGAAAAAAAGACACTGTATACTTGTGTGTCCTCCTTGAACTGTGAGGAGCAACGATCGCATTCACATTTTTCAGATGATGCCTTGGGTCAAAAATCGCTACCACGGCTGTTGCTGCTCTTCACCTGTAGAGTTAAGCGGTAGTGCGAAAATGTAAGAAATTTACGGAGAAGGTAAGGCTCTGCACCAATGTTTGTGCCATCTCGCCGAAGCTTCGAATTAAAGTTCTTGTTTTAGACGGCACACTCGATAGCTGGTGACCAAGTAGAGTGGCGACACCCAAGAAATGCTGAAGTGTCTAGTGGACCAAAGCTAATAACTTGTTTTGTAATTAAACTATCATACATTAAGCAAAATAACATAACTTTTGCGACTCAAACAGATATATTTAAATAAAATAAACGAAGTTCGTGCCTGTTTTAAGACATTTTCAAAGAACCACTTCTGTACATACATAGTTGAAGCGTCATTATATTGATCCGTACTAAGAAATTTACAGGTGTCATGAAGTATCATTACATAATATTGTAAAGTATCACATCGGATACATTCATTCGGGATTGACTGACTGATATAATTGATATGCGAGTATTAACGTCCCAAAACCACCGTGTGAATATGGGAGACGCCCTACCGGAAGGGTCCGGAAATTTCGACCACCTGGGGTGTTTTAATGGGCATCCAATTCTGAGAACATGGGCCTACAACATTTCCGCGTCCATTGAAAATGCAGCCGCCGCAGCCAGAATTCGGTCCCGCGACCTGTGGGTCAGCAGCCCAGTACCTTAGCCACTAGAACACCGCGGCGGGGCACGCACATTCATTCAGGAAGTATCTTGTATCTGTGTCTCCGGTACTTCTTGCTCGAGTATCTTGTATCGTATCACGACACAATTTCGAAGTATCTTTGTATAGCCCTATTGGTCACATCACTCGTCGTCCCCGCTGCCGCGTTATGGTTGCCGCTGACTGTCAGATTTGCCGTTTGATGATGCATCTAAGGCTCTCGCCCAAACAAAATAACGAAAGTTTTTGCGGTCGGGCTAGATTCAAACCGTTGGGCCAGATAATAATGTCTGCAAAAAGTGTATTTGAACAATACAAACATGCACCCGTGGTGCGAAAGAAATATTAAGAGAGAAAACATTCCATGATGTAGTGACATTCGCGGTGTTGGATTAAAAGCCCTGTGCAACACTGCGTCGAGCCAAGCTGGGGGATCGTGCATGTAAAGACCATTGCTCCTTTGCAAAAATTTCATGTCACACGTACGCTTTGCCATGTGCCTTTAAGGAGCTACCCAAACTGCTGCTTAACACGAAGTGGGTTCCACATAACGGAATAGGCTTCAGTAAAGATTTTGCACTTGAGACATTTCACATCCGAGCGTGTAACTTTTGGTGAAAACCCGCCGTGTGGCACAGATATGCACGTGTATACTTCAAATAAATCAAATCAACTGAACTTTTATTTCCACCCTGTACAAACTTACAGATGAAAGACTACGAGAAAAAAGCTGCCGAAAG